GACCAATGAAGAAGGAGGATCACCTCCACGTTCTCCAGGAGAACCTGAAACCATCAGCAGAAGGTTGATCTTGGACACAGTTGGATGTTCCAACCAGACAATGAGCCCAAACACACATCAAAGTGGTGAAGAAATGGTTCCATCAGGCTGGAATGAAGGTTCTAGACTGGTCTCCAGAACCATCTTGTTTATGTGAACTGTGACTTTATTTCATTGCGATTTTTTTTAATTTAGGCTTTTTATCTGAGAATCTTGGTTTTCTATCTCAGAACTTTGACCTGATGTGTAAAATGACGACTGTATCTTAGACTTTTCATGTCTTTCGTTGCCTTTTGTCCTGTTTGTGATTTTGTATTTTAAAATAATAGTTTTCCATCTTTACATTTTTATTTTTATCCATAAAAATGTGACTCAACTGCAGAATTTTTCACGTTTCCTGTCGATAGCTCAGTTTTGTATTCCCCCTTTCGACTTTGTCTCTAAATAAAATCACAACATTGAGGCTCGTGTCTAAAATTTCAACCTTCGTCGTGTAATTTAACTTTTCACGCTGCGATTTCTTTGCATTTCTGACTTTCTCTCTCAACACTATGACTTTTAACCGGTTTTTAGACTTCTCATCCCACAATCCTGACATCATAAGTCCAAATTGTCTTCGCACAGACTTTTCCTTTCGGCGCCTCGTGGTCCAAACAAAGCTGCCGTGACCTTTACCCGACATATTGTCGGCCCTCGGAGGGACGAGTTTGCCGGTTTCACGGCTTCTTATTGGATCTCTGATGAACGTCGCAGCCCGCGGGCAATAATCTGCTGCACTTTGAGCGCTGAGGCCGCCGTGACCTTGAGATTTACCTTCAGCCAGAGCCGGGTCTGTGCGTCTGTTTGTGTAAGTGTGAGTGTGGCCTCGGTGCCGGCTGGTCCGGTCCGGTCCGGTACAATATGACACCGGCAGCAGAGCAGAAGGCAAAAGCTTCATGGATTTAGGGAACAATAATCCATTTTGCTGCAATGCCACTGCAATGCAACACCCTTTGTCTTGTTCAGGGAAGCTCCCCGAGTGTGTGTGTGTGTGTGTGTGTGTGTGTGTGTGTGTGTGTGTGTGTGAACAAATATTTGAGGAGGACGGAGGATGAAAGGGCGATTGGTGGCGGCTGCCGTCGGAGGATAAATGATGGAATGAATGAGAAGAAGGACGGCGGCCGGCTTTAACCTCTGCTGTTTGTCCATTAGAGCGATTACAAACGAAGCCTCGCCTCGGCCGACCTCCGCCGCGTTTATTTGTACGCCTCCGCTCATTTGCCTCCACGCCGTCGACTGCAAATGATAAATCTGACGGCCGGAGCCTCCCTGATCGATCGGCGAGGCGGGCGGCAGGCAGTTAGAGACGAGCCGGTGAACACGGCGGCGCTTTAATCAGCCGAAGAGGCGCTTATTTAACCCCGGAGCTGGTGGAGACCAAACCCGGAGATAAAAGAGGGCGAGTTCTCTACAAAGACTAAAGCACCAGGAAGTATTCAACCAGCAACAAAACATGCAGAACCACAGTCTGGTAAAACAGTCCAAANTATGTTTGCGCTGTGACAGCTGATGGATCCGTCCATCAACCCCACGACCTCCATGTTGACTTCCTCAGTGCTGCTTCATCACTGAAAAGCAAACACAACACATCTCTGGTTGTGTAGTGGTGTTGTGTAGTGGTGTTGTGTAGTAGTGTTGTGTAGTGGTGTTGTGTAGTGGTGTTGTGTGTCTGTTGTGTGTCTGTCGTGTGTGTGAGCAGCTTGTTGTCCTGTCCGGTCCTCACAGAGATAGAGAGACTCAGAGAGGAAACAAATTGGATGTTTGAGCTGCTGCAGAGTCAGCACTTCCTGCTGCAGCAGCTTCATCATGTCACTGCTCCTCTCTCCTCCTCCTCCTCCTCCTCTTCCTCTTCCTCTTCCTCCTCCTCCTCCTCTTCCTCCTCCTCCTCTTCTTCCTCTTCCTCCTCTTCTTCCACCAAATCTCAAATTTCTTCCAACTCTGTTTATCGTCTCGTTCAAACGTTCCCCAAACACAAACCGTCCGCTTTAACTAGATTCAACAAAAAACAAAAAATTCTGTGTTTCTCGGTGGATCTGTGAAACCGTCGGTGACTCGGCTGCGACCGACGGCCGCGTGGCAAGAATTCACAGAGTTTTATGTCTTTTCTCTCGGCATCTCCGCAACCTGCTGCCTTCACTGCCTGCAGGGAAAAAAAACAAAAAGATGTTTAGCATCAGGTTGGTCCTGAAACGATCAGTTCTCAGGACTTTTTTATGTTAATTTATGCATCAACGTGCCGATTATTGAATCATTGTGTCTCTAAAACGATCAGTTTGACTCCGAACACGACGAATCGGATTCTTTTTTGTGAAACGTGAGACGAGTGAAGCTGAGTGGAGGTCTGGGTTNGTCCAGCTCCATGGACCAGTCGTCATGATATTGGGCCCGTCGCTCCGCCCCCGCCTCCAGCCCCGGCCCCGCCCCCTGCTCCGTCGCCTCCTGTCGGAGTTCTGGGCCAATGGCTGCGCAGCATCGTGCCGGCGCCTCAGCACAGATGGCCACACCCCTCAGCCTGCGATCGGCCGGGACTCGGTGGAGGTGCTGGGCCACTCCTACCCCCGCGACGACTTCACCAACGTCACTCCGAAGATCTTGGCCAAAGTGGGGCGCAACCTGCACAACCAGCCGCATCACCCCCTGTGGCTGATCAAGGAGCGGATCAAGGCTCACTTCTACAGGTAGGCAGCTCTGGGAGTCTCCTCAGACAGTGTTTACACATCCATGTCCATCAGCTCCACAACACCTCCTTCACTCACCTCATCATACTTCCACCTCCGTGCTTCACCGTCAGGCCCTTGGTGGTGGTCCTGGTCCAACACGCTGGAACCCGTGTTGGTGTCGTCCGACCAAACAATGTGACCCAAACATGTTGTTCTGCAGAGTTGAACCTGGTGCTGCTAGCTGTATCGTGTTGCGCTGCGTGAAGATGCTGCTCCTGGTAGCTGAGCTTCATTCAGCGGGACACTCCTGGTCCGAGTGGAGTCAGTCGTGTTCTCTCCTCTAACAGAGACTTCATGAACAGAGCATCTCATTAACGTTCTTGTTTCTCACCTCAGGCCCGAGGCTACGGACGTGAAAAACATCACATCTGCTGTAGCAACAACCACAAGAAGGAAAAAACAAACAGCTGTGATAAAAACGTCCAGTTTGTGTCACCGTCATAATTGTTGTTGTTGTTTTCCGCCTGAAGCCTGCGGCTACAGATGCTAGCGAGCTATCGCACAGCGCCGTTTGTTGTGGAGACGGAGTGATTCGTTTTGTGCAGCGCTGCAGGACTTTGTGCTGAAAAATGAGCCACAGCGAAGAAAAACGCGACGAAACCTGCAGCTCCGGGTTCACAGACGTGAAGGTCGACGGAAAAGCTCCCGCATCATCAGTAGCCTCTTGGTCTGTCAGTGTGTTTTTGTGTCGTTTTGTGTTGTTTTTTTGTGTCTTTCTGTCCTTTTTACCTCTTTGTGTCAATTTCGTGTCATTTTTAAACATTTTTGGTTCATTTTTGCATCTTTTCTGTCAGTTTTGTGTCATTTTGGCTGCTTTGCGTCACTTTTACATATTTAGTTTTCTGCCTTTTGTGTAGTTTTTTTTTTTTTACATCTTTTTACATATTTTGTCAGTTTTGTGTCATTTTTGTGTCATTTCTGCCTCTTCTCATCAATTTCGTATCATTTTTCATTCTTATTTTTAATTTTTTTTATATTTTAGTTTCATTTTTGCCTCTTTTTGTGTCACTTTTACATATTTTTTTGTTAGTTTACTGTTTTTGTGTCCTCTTCGCCTCTTTGCATCAATTTCAGATTATTTTTATATATTTTAGTTTCATTTTTTCCCCATTCTGTGTTTTTCTTACATCTTTTGTTTCAGTTTTGCGTCTTTTTCTGTTGTTTTTGTATCATTCTTGCATCTTTTGTGTCTTATTTTTTTGCCATTTCAGCATCTTGTCGTGTCATGTGTGGGTCTTGCCATGCGACCGTTGTGGTCGTGTTGCCGTGGAGCTGCAGGACGTCGTGTTGCGCTGACAAACCATCGACAGCAGCCTCAGAGGCTTCAGTCGTTTCTGGTTTTTGTTCGCTGCTTCTCCTCCTGCGTCTAAATAAAACCGGAGCTCCTTCGAGTCTCCGTCAGAGTTGGTTTCTTTATTTTCGGAGCACAAACTGCTGACTGCTCTGTGCCGCCTCGCGGTGCCTTCAGGGACCGTCGGGTGTAAAACCGCGCTGCACTCCACCATCATCACAAACCGACGCAGCAGCAGCAGCATGAATAAGTCATCGGAGGGTTCAGGGCTTCGCAGGTCGCGAACTTCAGAGTTCAGAGAAGCTCTGAAAGCTGCAGCGGGATTTAAGAAGCTGGAGCGTTTCGTCTCCCCGTTTCCCTCCATGTCACCCACTTGTTCTAATTACTGGGTGTATTTACAGCCAGGCGGCCACTAACGACGCGTTTATGAAGCTGTTGGTTGTTTGGTTCAGGAAGCTTCATGTTTTCGCTCCGTGTGGCCACATGTTGGAATCATTTAAAACACGTTTTCAATCATTTTGGAAAAGTTTTGCGTCACTTTGAACCATAGTTGAGTCGTTCCAGGTCATTCAGGATGAATGTTTGTGATTTAAAAACATCTTTTTAACCATTTTATCCAATTTCAAGTCATTTTGGACAAATTTCTGTTATTTTCCACAAATTCATCAGAAGATTTTAGACAATATTTTGTATTTTTTGTCATTTTTTTTGACAAGTTACAGGTTTCTGAGTCATTTTGGACGATTTTTGAAAACTTTCGAGTCATTTTGGGTGAAAAAATTTCACCGTTTTTGAAATTTCTTTCGCTGAACGTTGAGTCGTTTTGGTCAAGAGTTTGTCAACTTTAAGTTATTTTGGACCAGTTTCGAGCCTTTTTGTTCACTTTTAAGTCGTTTTCAGTGCATTAATAAAACTTTTCTCAAGTTTCCAGTCATTCTGGACAACATCCAAGTCGATTTGTCCGTCTAAGTCTGTGTAATGTTTGTCAAATATGAGGAGTTTGGACCCACGTTTGTTATTCTGGACAAACTCTGAGTCACATTTGAGTCATTTTGGTCTAATTTTAGCCATTTTGAAAAAGTTGAAGTCATTGTGGACAAGTTTGGAGTCACTCAGGACAAGATTCAGGGATTTATGATCAATTTCTGAATTACTTTCAACAAGTTTTAGTCATTTTTGTGCCGTTTTGGTCGTGTTTGGAGCCACTTTCACCAAAATTTGATCCTCTTTTGACAAGTGTTTTATTTAGTCAAGTTTTAATTCCGTTTTTTGACGAACTTTGACTGTTTTTGGGGCGGTTTCGAGCATTTCTTGGCTCTCATCTCATGTTGGCTCATTTTTGAATAATTCTCATAAGTTCTCATTTTCAGGAGGTTAAGTGTCACTTTCAGATGCTGAAATGTGCAAATATTTGTCATTTTTCATTCAGTTTGCTGACAAGAGGACACAAGTACGACAGTAAACTGTGTTTTATGAAGGATGGCCGTGTCAGAAGCTTCTGCAGCTGGTTTTTCTGGTGTTTCTCTACTCGTGGTTTTCTGTGAGCAGCAGCAGTAACGTGTCCTTCAGTCCGACTCCATCTCGGCTCCTTCGTCAGCGCTAATGACTGTTCTCTCTCCTCCACAGCTCGTACATCGGCCGCTGGGGAAACCCGCTGTTCTCCGTCCACGACAACCTGAGTCCTGTGGTCACCGTGGAGCAGAACTTCGACAGGTTCGGCTGACAAACGAGCTCGAGTAAAGACGATCTGTCAGAGTTTACAGGCCAGCGGAGGAAATATAGATCCTCGGTGCAGCCGATCCTCAGGCTGCGTGTCCGTCAAAGAGCTTTTTCCAGCTGAAAACATCCTTAACGTACCTCATTAAATCACAACAAATAATGGAGCTTGCTCATTTATGTCAACCTTCTGGGTTGCAAACGTTGTTTTGGCGCATTAGTGTCGCCTCAACTTCATATTGTGTATAAAATATAGACTCTGCAGCTCTTCAGTTCTCAACTAATGTTCGTATCTTCTCATGTCTGACACCGTTTTCCTGAATAAAGTGTGTTGTAGCTGTAGTACCTGGTTGCACCACCAGGTGGCGCCTCTTGCTGTTTGATGCCGTAGCAACACAGAGGGGCACCATGAAGGAGACT